ATGAGAGCAAAGAATATCATGTAACCTCAGCTCTTTAATACTGGAAGGTTTAAACGAGAATGGATGCTGCTAGAATAATGTTGCTTCCTTTGATGTGACAACTGAGCATCCATTCTCCTTTTCCTCAAATGATTTCCTCAGCACGTTAGAGCAGTGAGAAATGATTTTAGTCTCATAACCAAGTTAGAGTGAAGACATTGGCAACATAATAACACATGCTCCATTTTTAAAACAATTCTGATATTGGTCAACTGTTCTTTTGTAACTTCTTTACAGTTTCTAAAAGCAGTTATTGTTCAAAAGTTGGAAGAATTTAAGTCTTCTCAGATGAGCATGTGGATGAATGGAGGAGGGTAAACAAAACATAAAATTAAAAAAGATGAGGTCTTATAGGGAAGCAACCAGATAAGAAAACCAAAAAGAAACAGTAATTTAAAATTTATTCCAGCTGTAATGCTTGTTATTCTGACTTTTAAATAGCATAACATGGCATACTTCTGAGTCCATTCCTCTACTATTCTGTATCACTAATCTCTGTTTTATAGATTTGTACGATCTCTGGCACTGGGGAATCATCTGGGTTTGAATCACATAGCAGTAAACAAATGGATAAAAGAACTTTAGAACTAGTTAAAGCAGGAGACCACCGTGATCTGAGAATATTGAGACAAATGCTGTCATTACTGTTACTATTTGGATGACAAATTCTTGTAAATGCAATTTTAGGTGGTTTAAAGTGGTAGTCGGTAAGAAAGTGAATTGTCAAAAGCATACACCAACTTAATATGGACTGTCATGAGATCCCATAATTGTGGCTTGCCAGTGAAACACATCATCCCTGACTGGGCCAGTAGAACACTGTGCTAGAGGGTCATAGATCAAATCACTAAGCTCCTTGTTAATCTGTTTCAACACTATATTCAGTGCTTTTCACCTGGCTCCTCATTCTCTCTCTGTGTGCGCAAAGTCTAATGAAAACTTTCAATTTTGTGATTATCTGAGTGGCCGGGAAGGATAATCTCTTCTCACAGAGGCTCTGCCTAGCAAGCTCAGGACTAGTTGAAGGGTGCAGGGAGACGGGTAACTTCCCATGGCCTGACCAGGTGCGTGTGTGCAACCCCCTTTTTCTTCTCCTTTTTGGTATATCACCTTCTGACTACAGATAAGACTGGAAGGTGGGGGAAAGAGGCATGTCATGGGCTGGGGGGAAGGTAGATTTAAAAATTTCAAATAAAAAGCATCCTAAGAGTCACCAAACTAACCCCAAAGTTACTTAAAGTTGTTATATTATTTTTTGTTATATGTTTTTTAATACCCATATTTTTTCAGTTATATGCAGAATATTTTTTAAGTTGTTGTAAGAACACTTAACATGAGAAAGGAAGGGACAATCCTTTTCCCATTTTTTTTGGCACCCTTGTAAAAGATCAGTTAACTGTACATATGTGGGTTTACCTCTGGGTCCTCTAGTCTTCATTGGCTTGTATGTTTGCTTTTGTGCACATACCACGCTGTTTTAATTACTGTCACTTTGTAATATATTTTGAAATCAGGAAAAATGAAGACTCCAGATTTTTCTTCTTTTTCAGATTGCTTTGACTATGAAGAGTATTTTTGTGGTTTTATGTACAGTTTAGGATTTTGTTTTTGTATTTCTGTAAAAAAAAAATGCCATGACTTTGGATAAGGATTATATCACTTTGGGTAGCATGGACATTTTAACAATATTGAATGTTTCAATTCATGAACATCGAGTATCTTTCCATTTGTTTGTGTCTTCATTTCTACTCTTTCATGGATAGTTTTAAGGTTTTAGTATAGAAGTATTTCATCTCCTTCATCAAGTTCATTCATAAGTATTTTGTTTTTAATGATGTTATTATTAATGGATTTTTTTCTTAATTTTCTTTTTGCATGTTTAGTTCTTAGTACAGGCATACACCTGATCTTTTATATGTTAATTTTATGTCTTACAACTTTACTAAATATGTATATTATTTCTAACTATTCTTTGTGGAAACTTTAGGGGTTTTAGATAAGATTATGCCATCTACAAAGACAGTTTAATTATTGTTTTCTGATTTGAATGTCTTCTATTTCCTTCTCTTGGTAATTGCTCTGGTTAGAATTTCGAGTATTATAGAATTGGTGAGAGTAGGCATCCTTCCCTTGTTTCTGATCTTATGGCAAAAGCTTTTAGTTTCTCCATGTTAAATATGTGGCTACCTTTGAATCTTTTATACATGGTCTTAATTATGTTTAACTAACTTCCTTCTACATCTTTTTTGTTGAGAGTTTTTAATCAGGAAACAGAAAATGGTCATTTTTAAAAGTTCAATAAAAATTTAGTTCATGATACAAAATAAATAATTTAAAATGTTTTTATAAAAATGTTTTCCTTAATTTTCAACAAATACCTTAGGGTTTTATTATTCATATAGGTATGGCTTATAGCTACAGTTTTGAATAAACATCTAAACTCTAGATTTATAATTTTAAGATCTGAAAATTTGGTGAAATATTACAGAATACAATATTTTAGTTTATTGGCAGTTTAGCATAAACCCCTTTTCATTGTAAATTCTGTTGAAACTTTTCTGGTTTGGTCACTGACTCTTTAGGAAGTACTGTTAAATAAGCACATCTTACACTTTCTCTGATGATTAATCTTATCAAAGTACCTCAAAATTATAATTCAACACGTAAATTCTCATTATTCAGGATAAAATATTTGGAAAGACAGAAAAATAATTCCTTCCAGTTTCAAAGCTTACTGTAAAAATGCCTGTTTATACTACACTCAATGTAAATTGTTTTCCTCTCTTTGTCTAAAAACACAGGAGTCAAGTTCTAAGTACACAGGAGTCAAGTTCTAAGTAATAAGTATTTCATGATATTTTGTTCGGCCATCACAGTCTTCATTCAAGAGCAAGTTTATTTTTATAATAAAGTTCTAACGACTTGTACAGCTGAGACTTTTCATTGAAAACCCCTGCTGACATATTACTATCAGGTGAAAATAACAATGTGTGATGGAATGCACTTAGAATGCCAGTTGTCCAAGATTCTTTTCTCATACAAAATGCTTTTCAGGTTTAGATAGGCTCAGATATGCTTCAGTGAACTGCTTTAGAAAATTAGAGGAAATTTTTTGATGGGTTTTAACATATAAATCAGATTTACATAGACTATAAACTTGCCTTTAGTATACAATAAAAATTAAAAAGAAATGTTCCACGTCTTATTTTTATTCCAGCGACTTTTCAATCTAAATAATAAAGTTATTAAACAAAGTATAGGTGAAAATGCTTTCCTTTTCTGCATAATCTTTTGCTTAGTAGAGGGTATACTACTAAAGTTTATCTATTTCAAAGCAGATTAAAATTTTGACCTTTGATCTAATAAAAATAGTCACTATAGTTTAGAATGCTTATACTGCAATGACCCAAAAAGAACCAATAATTGTAGAAAGGAGATTATTTTGAAACAATATATTTTAACACCCCAATTTTATCTATAATCTTATAGAAAATATGTACAAATGAATTTGAATATAGAAACATTTAGATGATTACATGAACAAATTAATGTATTGATTTCAGCCAGCGATGAGATTGTGAAAATTTGATTTATGTTGTTTTATATATAGCATTTTCAATAAAATAATATTTTTAAGTAAAAAAAATAAAAAACCCACAGTTCTAGCCCATTGTTAAATATGCATACAAAAATGTTTTTAAAAAATACATTCAAAATGCAACAAATAAGTGTTTCCACATGTTAATCACTGTAACTATATTGTAAAAATAGCTTATTAGTCTATCCCTATGATGTTTTGTGTTTGTATTTGCCTTCTCTTATATAGTCTCCATGTCTTAACTAAGCAAGAACCCTAGAAAGTGAGCACAAGAACAAAATTATAAAAATTACTAATTTTTTAAGTAAATAGTAAAGGTAAATAAATGGCATCATTAGTGAATTCTATGGATTATTAGACAATGGAAAAATGTAAAAAAAAAAGACACTGGAAAATGTAAAACAGCAAAGCAACACGTGAATTTACGTCTGTGATTCTAATAATATCTACTTTAAAAACTACCCTCTCAGGTGATGTTGTTCTCTTGCACTCTTTTATTTTCTCAGAGTACTGACAGATGTTCTGTTTAGATTTCTTTGGTGGGGTAGGGGTTGTAGAAAGGGCTCTTTGAAAAGTTGCTTTTGTATGCTAGATATTGAAAAATTTCTGAAAAAAAAGGCAAAGATCTCTCTAAAACAGTTTCTCAAAAACTCTGAAATTTTCTCAGGAAACCGTTGAGTTGAGTCTAGGCTCATGGCATTCTTCCCTGCCATAATTTCAAGCAGACAACTTATTCTAAAATTCAAAATTAATTGTGCAAAGTGCTAATAAGTGAACATGTTTATTTCATTTATGAATCACAATTATGTATTTTACATTAATTCTGCAGCTTTTATCTCTTAAATTGATAATTTTTAACTGACTCTGGAGGCAGCTCAAGAGCGTCAACGTTTTGTGTGCAATAAATACCATCAAAAGCCATTTTGTAGCTCTCTAATAATGAAAAGCTTAGTATATTACTGGAGCAGAGAAGAGAACTCTTTGCCTATTACCTCTGGCTAATGCTGCCTTTATGTTGGAAATTAAAGAAGTAAGAATAAAGGTGAAACACAACATGGCCCTGCCTTCTATTTGACCATGTGATCATTTAGCAATGGACTGAGAGACCAATACAGCTGTCAACTTTGACTTTCCAATGCACTCAGGAAAGTATGCAACCTGTATCATTTTTCCTAAGTAAAAATTATTTGGGGTGTTAGTATTTTACAACTTACAAGCTCTTTCTGCTCAGGTCTTCACCTCCTTTTGTGATTTTCACCTCCTTTTGTGATTATTTAAAAATAATAATACATAAATAAATAACATTTTTAAAATAAGAAAAAAATCTTGATTTTCTTTTTCTT